CAGCGCAGCCCAGCCCCGCCCAGCCCAGCCCAGCCGGTACTGCAGCTCGCAATTGCTTCCTGAAGTCTGGTAGAGTTTGCGTCGGACGTGTCGACTCTGGAGCTGGCAAAATGAGTGCTGCCCGGAACTGCGTGATAAGCAGATGAGCATGGACATGCTGTATGGATAAACTTTATGGCACTTCCGACATGGCCCGATGGTAACAGGTAACAGGAGCATTTCAACAAGCGTTCAATTCTTTTCACTTGCCACAGGTCAGCTACCACTTCTGCACAGCGGCTCCTGTCTTTTGCAGAGCTGAGACTAAGTATGGGCAATACTGCGTGCAAAAGCACGCAGAAGGAAAATGTACTCACCCCGGTAGCGGCGTGCAAAGGCTCAGGCCGTCTCTGACGGGGTGTTGCCGCGCCTGGAAGCCGGCCGGCGGCAGTCCGGGCAGTTTCTCACACGTGGCTGTCCTTTCAGCTGAACACGCTGGAACATCTTGCCACAGCTGCGGCACTTCTGCTGATTCGTTGCCCTCGTGCTGCGAGAGGAGCAATTCCCGCAATGCTGCTGTTGTGAGTCTAAGTGTGCGGCTTTGAAGAATCCTCTGCAGCCCTTGCAGGTGAACCAGCCTTCGCGCGCGCTGGTGCCTCCCCGCTGCTTGATTTCTTCCTGGCACGAGCTGCAAGCCACATCTTCTGCCGGCACGGTGACCATGGTGGCTTCGAACTCCGCCACGGGCTTGGAGGCGGCGCAGACGGTGCAGCTGAGCACCGTCGCAGCTTGGAGGCAGGGCAAGCACCGGCGCTTGGTTGCAGCATCCCTTTGATTGAGCTGGGCACGTGGAAAAGCATCTTCTATTTTAGCTCTCTTGCATCCGTTGCAAACGAAGCTTGCAGGGCCGCCAGAACACTTGCGCTTCGCCGGGCCGGCTTTCGGCTTGGGTTTGTTGGTGCACGCCAGGCAGGTCGCGGGCTGGTTGGAGCGCACCTGCGACCATTGTGCTTCGGAGAAAGCTTGGAATGCTTTGACGAGCCGGCACTCATGGCAGGTGGCAGTTGGATGCCGCGCTTCGCGATAAGCCTTCCAGTCTATCTCCTGTCCTCTCAAGCTCTCCAGCAGAAGCTTCGGCCCTTCGGCCGCGCCGCGTTGGAAGAGCCACAGCGGAAAAGGCCTCATGATCAGCACGTCGTAGCGGCTCCGCACGCGGCTGGCTGCCACCGTCCCCAAAGCTGGATCCGTGCGCTTGTCGATGTTCAAGTCCAACAGCGCCGCCAGGAGAGTCTTGCCTTGACTGGCATGAGCGGTGATGGCGAAGGCGGGCACCAAGGGGATCTGTTGGCGATTGATTTTCAGCACCGGCTTCCCTCTCTTCGCGTCCAGAAACCAGGCACGCTTCTTCAGCTCCACGGGATACAGCCCAGGCTCGGAGGCCCCGTCCAGCTGCCAGGTCGCTTTCTCGAATTTGACGTACCTGGGAAAGAGAGAAGCAGCACGTCGCGAGCTCCGAGCTATACATCGCGAGAGTTACTCGCAAAAAGCCAGACTCCGCAGTACTGAATGAATTTAAAACACAAACCATGAACTGCCAACGCTTGTCCAAGGCTCACGACCTTGGGCTGCTGGTTGTTCTCGGGCCAGAGCCAGGAATGCACGCGGCCCACACGGCCGCGCAGCAGGAGCTTGTCCTCGGAGCGGTCGAGGTGCTGTGTCAGGGCCACGGGCATGCCGATGGCCAACGGCAGCATGCCGCAGAGGTCGGCGGTGTCCCGGTCGTGGTACTGCAGCCACCGGATCTTCGCGGACTTGTCGCAGTCTGCGGCCTGCAAAGCTTCATTGCTCGCCAAATCCAGCGCCACGGAGACCCGACACTGCGTGTCCGCGGACTGCGCGTATGCCTTGGATCGGTCCTTGTTGATTTGGTACTTCGCATCGTTGTTGGCCACGATGACGGGCGCCTCCACGAACTTCTTCTCCGCCAGCCTGGGGTCTGCTGCCGATAGGATGACCCGGCGCCGGGACGCCCGCTCCTCGGGGCTGAGCGAGCAGCCCTCCACCGGCATGCCATGCAGATATTTCCAGTTCGTCTCGGAGAGATACCCGGCGCGGAACTCGTCCACCACTTCGTTCCACCAGTCATCCTGGCATCGCATCCGCTCCACGAGCTCCGTGACTCCTTGCGTCGGCCCGCTCCAAAGCAGCTGCCGTCCATGATCGACGAGAATATCCGAAGGACGTTGTCCCGAAGTTCCTTCCAGGAGCTTTAAGGTTGCAGGCACGTCCGCAAGGTAGCCGCCCTCGGGGGGCTTGAGCTGCTTGAAGTCACCCACAAGAAGCACGTTCACGCCTGCAAAGGGTCGCACGTCTCCAGAACCGTTCAGCCTCCAGGGATTCGTTGAAGGCATCACGGCGCGCATCCTCTGTTCCACCTGCGCGAGGAGTCTCGCGTTGACCATGCTGATCTCGTCGATGATGAGCCAGCGCCAGAGGGCCATGCGTTGGGCCGTTTCTCGACTGGCCGGCTGATCCAAGCTGAAACTGCCGACGTTGAGGCCGCAGGCGTTGTGCAGCGTTTTGCCTTCCACGTCTGCTGCATTGACAGCTTGGAAAGCGGCGATCTCATACTCGAAGCCCTTCGCGTAGCCGAGCATTTTGTTAAAAAGCTCGCCCAAAGGCTTCAGGACCTCTGTCTTGCCCGTGCCAGGACCGCCGTGCACGAGCCAAACCAGGGGGTCGCCCCGTCGCAAGGCGGTGTCTTCGACTTGCACCAGGCCGTGCTCCACGAGGATGCGGTCCACGACCAAGCTCAGAGCCTCGTGCTGCTTGGCATTCAGGAAGGAGCGAATCGGCTCGCTGTGCACCCAAGTCAAAAGCTGTTCTGCTGTGATTGCTTCTCGCTCCTCGACCTGTGGGGGTCTTTCTGCACCTCCCAGGCGGGCTCGGGCCTGAGATGCGGCAACGGATGCAGCTTTGCTGCGCGAGGCCTGCGCGGCGGCGCGCAAGCGCTCAGGACACTGGACGCCTTGTACGTTCTCCAGTCTCCGGCGCTCTGCTACGGCATGCGCCTTCGCCTCACCGCCGCCGGGGCCTTCCAGCCAAATGGACGAAGACAGGTTGAACATTTCCTTGGTCATGGTGTGCTGCAAGCTTGGCTCCGTTGCCCCGTGCTCAACTTCGGCTTCTTCTTCTGCCCGCCCGCTGCCCCGCACATGCGTGAGCAAAGCTGCTTCCAGGTCGTTGGCATCGAAGTATGTCGGAGCGTCCTGCGAGCATTGACTAATTTGATAAGGATGGCTCGTCACTGTCTATATGTATCTGAAACATATGACTGTACATGCTTTGGACGGCTCGCGGGTCCTCGATGCCTTCGTTGTCGCTGTTTTCTGCCAGCTCACCGTTGGATTGCAGCTCCCGTGGCAAACAATAGACGAAGCAGAAGTTCAGAACATAGCTGCGCAAAGACTCCGTGGCAAAGCCCCGCCTGGAAAACCACAACCGCAGAGCATCGCGCCAGGTGTTGCAACCGCCCCTAAGGTCAGAGACAAAGGGCACATCGGCCGTGGCATCTGCTGCGTTGGTTGTCCAAGGGCAGAAGAGCAGCGTGACTTTCTGGGCCTGCTCCTCTTCCGTGCGGCAGCCTTGGGCGCCATAGATGACGGGCACGAGAGGCCTTTTGCGCGCCGCAATGACCCAGTCGTGCCGATACGGCTGAGCTCGCTCGCCGTGGCCGAGCGGCAACCACCCCACACCGCCTTGCTCCTTGATCCGGTAGTCGACGGCGGGGGCAAGCTTGCTCCGCGCCGTGCCGCGTGCAAGCTTCGCCTTGCCAGCCTCTGTGAAGCACACGTGGTCCTTCTCCGGCTCTTGCTCCTCCTGTGCCAGCGTCCAGGGTTGCGATGCCTGCTGGTACTGGTAGTGCCGCGCAAATTCGAAAGCCGAGAGCTGGTGCACTCTGGGATCACGACCTCGCTCTGCGTAGAGAGTCCAGGGCGGGCAGTCGGTTACTTTCTTGTTTCCGTAGCACGCACGATACCGGGAGTCTTCTTGGACGCGCGTGGGCTCTTTGGGCAATTGGTCTTGCGCGAGAGCCGCGTCCAGCAGGCTCAGTCCATAAGCCAAGGCAATTTGCGTGACCTGTGCGGTCTTGACAGACTCCGCGCGGGTAGGGTCCATGCTCAGCGCCTGGTCGACGAGGTTGATACATTCCACGGAGGCGCGGCACACTCCTCGCACGTGGCAGTCCGTGGCCAAGCGCTTGCTGTGCCTGCTCATGGCGTAGCCTGTCGGCTTGCCTTCGAGGTCCTGGGCCAATTCTCCTTGAGCTTTCTGCCATTCCTTGGCTTCTTGCACGGCTATGGGCAACCTCTTGTTCTGGTAGTCGCAGCCATAGCCCGCTTGAGCGGCTTGGTTTGTCTGCGCTTGCTTCACGACCTCGTCGACATCCACGTCTGCTGCGCAGTTTTGGCCGCAGAGGTCGTCCTCGTGAAGCTCCGGCAGGATCGGGAAGCGGTACGGCACCTGCACATCGCAGTTGCACCGCAGAGCAGCCAGAAGTGCCGGGTGGGTTCCGTTCAGGTCGCCGTCGTTGACCGGCCCCCAGAGGGAGCCCAGCGCGCTGCGTTTGCCCTTCACCGGCAAGCCCATCTGCTGCGCCAAACCTTTGCACACCAAGACGGTCGAGTCTGTCAGTTGCTCCACTGGCCGCGGGAAGCCGGCCTTGCATTTGGTGGGATCCTTGGGATCTCGGCAATGCGCCAAAGGAAAGCGTGGTCCGTCCGGGTCCGTCAACCGTGGAAGATGCACGTGGTGCTGCTTGTGCTGCTGCAAGGCTTCCACGTCCTCTTCCAGAAAAGCCTTCTTCCACTGCTCCTGTGCCAGCGTCCCGTCACTCTGGTAGGCCGGGCGGCTCAGCACCAGCGTCGAGTTCTTGTACTCGGGCCATTGGGCCTCCACAGAGCGGCGCTTCTGCTGCCATGCTGCCGGCTCGCAGTAGATGGAGCGTCGCACGTGAGCCGTGTATGCCGTGTACTTCTGCAGGAGAGCGCGCCTGTCGGAAGCTGCCAGGTTCAGCATGTCCGCTAGCGGCGTGACCTGGTGGTAGTTCTGGATGAAGACCTGTGCGAAAACAACCATCGCACAGATCTCGAGTACCAGATGACTGGTGTACAGTGTACATGTAGCGACCTCGTTACAAAGTTCGTTGCTTTGCACGACAGTTGTCTAATTATTGCAATAGTTGTTGCCGTGAGCACAACACCTTAATCCTTGCCTGGAAGTGCCCGTGGAAGGCGCCACTCTTCTGGGTTTCCAAGGAGCCGTAAACTGCATCCACACGGCCAAAGATGCCGCCGCAGGCCATGGCGTTGCTGCCGAAGGCGTCCGTGCAAGGTGTGCTGGAAGTGATGCAGTCCGGGCAGCGGGGACAGTAGCGCACGCCAAAGAGATGCCGCAAGGCGAGCTGCACCAACGTCTTGAAGCCCTCGAGGCATGCGAGCGGGTCCCTGGCGAGCATGGCTCTGCGCTCATCGTAAGGTGGGAGTTCGGCGGCCAGCGCTGCTGAATCCAGTCTGCAGAACTCCACGTCCAAATCCGGCTTGTTCCTTGCCTGGAAGCTGCTGGAAGCCTCCTGTGCGATTGCCGGGTCGCTCGGCCGCGCGCGGGCCAGGCGTAGCATCATGGCAGTGTCGCGCTCCGAAGGAGAGAAAGTCACGAACACCGAGGTGCCGTAGCACACTCTGTTGGCATGCGTCTGGTGGCGCATGGTTTGTCGCACTTCATGCGTCCCGGGGATGCGGCGAGTCCTGGCCTCGCAGTTGTCCAGAACCTTCTTGGCCGCGACGGACAAGTTGGGTGCGTAGCGCACCTTGGAGAGGTCGCCCTTGATGGCCTTCATCTCGCCCGTGACATCTCTGTACTTGCCGCGGCCCAGGCATTGCTGGATCTCGCACACGCCCTTCAGGATCTCCGGGTTGGTGAGGGCCTTGCGTCCGCCTTGCTCGTCCGGCACGGTGTACATGAAGGTGTTCTTCTGCAAGTTGATCATGGTCCGAAAGATGTAGTTCCAAACCGTGAAGCCGAAGGTCCAATCGCGGCGGAATTGAGTCTCCGCACGGCGCAGCATGGCAGCCGCCCAATCGTAGATGAAAACTTCAGGCGCTTTCTCGTCGCGGGCCCGGCGCCGGGTAGCTGCTCCAGCATTCTCCTGCACACGGGATGGGTGCACGCATGGATCTTGCCTATATGACAATACAAGCGACATTCCTGATATACCTGACACAAAATTTGCTCTGTCCTGTGCTGTCGTCGTGTTTTGGACGTCCGGGCAGGCAGTGGCATGCTTGAAGCAGAAGCAGAAGGCCGTGGCAAAGTACATCGGCTGGAACTGGTCGATGAACTTGTTGCCCGTGCGCACCTCAAAGGTTTGTGCGGCCGCCACCCCTCCTGGCGGATCGGCACGTCGTCCTTCTTGGCGGTCGACAGAGTCCGACGCCCTGACTTGCTCCGCCAGCTCCTTCAGGGCCTGCACCCCCACCGCATTCTGGTCCTGCTGGTCGATGCTGCAGCCTTCGGGCACCACAGCTCGCGCTCGTTGGGCAGCGAAGATGCCGCCCGCCTCATCCAGCTCATGGAAGGCGTCCGAGGGCGTGGCTGCTTTCTGCGGTTGCAGGCGATCTCCGGACTGCTCGTCTATCTCGCCGATGACCGTCAGTACTTCAGGTGGAACGTCGTTTTCGGGAAGGGCTGCTGCCGCTCGTCGCACTGACGCTTCTTCCATGCTCTGGTAGGCCGGGTGGCCCAGCCGCTTCATGTCCAGGATGAGCTGCACCACCACCTCCCTGCGCACGACTGCCTGATGTATCAAGCTCTTGATTTCTGCACCCGAAGTCTTGCCGGTCTTGTTGGTCTTCAACAGCACCCGCACCACCTCTCCCAGCGCCGGCCCACTGCGCGGAAGTTGCGTCGAGGCTTCACCGCTTGCTTCGGAGTCCAGCAGTCCGTGATGCACCTGCAGCTTGCGCAGCAAATCCTCCCATGCCAGCGGGAAGGTCAGCGCGTTGCCCCGAGCCCCAAGGCGGTGCCTGGCCATGTGGACCTTCTCGTCGAGCGGGTGGACCTTCTCCTCCAGCGAGGAGCTGTCGCTCCGATAGCGGGCCTCCATGGACATGCAAATCAGCGTGGTGACGCACGGGCTTGCGCAGATCATCTCCATCACCGTGACGTTCTCCGCGTAGAGCCGCTCCGGGGCGTACCCGGTCCACATGTCGTTGCAGAGGCTCAGGGGCGGCAGCTTGCCGGCTTTCAGTTGCTGGTGACACTCGCTGCACAGGGGCACTTCGCATTCTTCGCAGAGGCGACCCTCTTCCACGTGTTGGGGATGGGCAGCGCAACGATGGTCTTCCGGACAGCAGAGCAAGAAAGTCCCGCCGTCGAGGTTCGGGAGCTGCACGCGCCAGCGCGCGAAGTCTTCGAAGGTGGTCAGCTTTAGGTCTCCTTCGAGGCGGTCGTACTTCTCCAGGAAAGAGTCCAGGCCCAGGATGTTGGCGATCTCAGACAGCGGCCGACCCAAGAAGGTGGTCGACGGTGTGCTCGCTGCTCGCTGCAGCGGCCGGTGCCACCTGATCTTGCCTGCGTCCTCCGTCTCGGCAACTCGGGTGTGGATGCAGGCGCAGCTGAAGCAGATGAGCGCTTCGGCCCTGTCGCCGGCGGTTGCTCTGGCGAACGACCGCAAGGCCGTGCGGTCCAAGGAAGATCCTGCCAGAGGAGCCTGCGAGCGGCACCTGATCGCCACGGCTTCGTTGTAAATGCTCAGGAACGCATCCGGCGCATTCGGATCCGGCAGGAGCTGCAGCAAGGGTTCCAGCTGTGACAGGTGATCCTGGTGCAGGTGCTGCAACAGCTCGGCTTCGCCTCCGTGCTCGCTGCACCACGTGCAGTCGTTGAAGGCGCAGAAGATGCGTGGCCACGCCTCACCCGCGTCCAAACATGCCGAAGATGCTTGGGGAGGCAGCGTAGGGCTGTCCCGGAGCTGCTGCGCCAGCTCGTGCAGGAGATCTTCCAGTTTGCGATGCGGGTGCGACGACTGCTCCGCAACTTTGTAGAGGGACAGCTCTGCGAGCACACCTTGCTTTGCCATCGCGTCGGGTACCTCGCCGCCCAAGGCCGAGGAGTGTGAGCCACCGGACTCCCCCGTTTGGCGCCCTTGGGCGGCCTGCGCTGTTGGTCTCTCTTGCTCCATGCGGTCCGTGCCCGAGTCAGGCAGCAGCAAATCGTAGTGATCAACGCCGTTGTACAAGAGCTGCAGGACGGGGTGCTTGTCGGGGTCAGCCATGTTGTCCATCACCTGCCAGTGGGTTCGCTCGTCGAAGCGGAAATTGCCTCCCTCATCGCGCCAATGAACTTGCGCGCGACGCTCTCGGAGCAGCGACCATGCCAGCACGGAGACGTCTCCTCCCCAGCACTCCTCCGGATCACCTCGGAGCATGGCTGCTTCATCCAGCCAGGCGTCTTCGTGTTCTTGCTGTTGTGCGGCTTGCTCCTCCAGGAAATCGGCCACCTCGTTCCTCAGGACTGAGGCGTCCTCGCCGCTGTCGCGGGATAGAGCGTGGAACAAACAATTCCCGTCCGGGGACATCTTCACCAGACGGAAATTGGCCGGGCACTCGCCGGGGCTCGTCTTCCGCTCCGAAGAGCTGGAGGCTGAGGCCGTGTTGCCATAAAGGGCCTCGGTGCGAACAAGTCACAGTCCAAAGACGAGCCGAGAGCCCAATCTTGCACGGGAAGCTGTGTGCGATGGCAGCTCCTGCGCTGCCCGGAAAATCAGAATGAATAAGGCTCCGACGTGCTGCAGCCTGTTCCGCTGCTTGCGACCCATGCTCCACAGCGCGGAAGGTGTGCCGCAGAGGGCCTCGGAGCTCGAACAGAACTGCATGAGTATCAGTTCGGCAGAGGTGTACAAGTACATAGGAGTAACCGGCTTGGCTTGCTTGGTCGGCACTTCGGCCACAGACAGCCACTCTCAACTTTAGAAGTAGCATCTGGGCCGGTGGCGCGCTGGAGTATAAGCCTTTGTCCTTTGCCCATGGTCGACGTGGAGCAGGGCAAGAACAAGTCGTTGGTGGGCCAGGCACCACAATGCATTGAGTCCTGGCAAACGTAGTTAGTTACTCGTGTACTGAGCGCCAGATTGCCAAGGAGTGCTGCAATCTGAGTCCCCAGCATCAACAGGGCCCCGGCAGAGCAGCAGGCGCGTGACGAGGCACGCGTCCTGTCTGCGCATGCGTCGTTGGAGCCAATGATTGTCAGCACGAAGAGCTTCCGCATTTTATGCGGCCAAAGTCAGAGCGAGCCTCGTCGGAGATCATGCTCCCGCGAAGTCCGGCTCTTGTAGTTGGAGGCCAGGTCCTGGCAGCTGGTGTATTTAGGGCGGCTCAAGGTCAAGCTTGTAATTCCCCGTGTACCAGAACCATCAAAACACCTCGGGCGTGGCGGCTGATCGGGTGAAGCAGCAGCTGTTGCCGCAGGCAAGCAGCGCGTCGCCAACGATGCTCGCTCTTCCTGTGCTTCGGTGTGGCTTCCCGGGGCTTGCGTCGGGCAACGGCACTTGCACCTCTGCTTGTTGGAAGGCGGCGTTCAGGACCTCGTCCTCCTCGCTGCTCACGCCGGGCCGCGGCTGCTTCTGCGGCTTTGGCGCCTTGGCCTCATCAGCATCATTTGCGCGTCGGAGCACACTCAGACTCGACAAGGTGCAAGCAGAAGACTTGGCGAGAGCGCCTTCTTTCGCCGACTTGCGACCGATTTTGCACGCACCACCGCTTTTGCTGCAGACGAGCGCAGTTGCCTCTTCCAGTCCTTGTGGAAGCAGATGGCACAAGGCTTTCTATTTCTCGCGACAAGTTTTCGCTGGCACCTCGTCGATGACGATCGCGCCTGCCTCGGGAGCCAGGCGTGCTACAACACGTTACCTAGAGCGCTCTGTTTGCAGACATACTAAGGTGCAGACCGGGGTCATCAAAGTCAACCGACACCGTGTTGCAAGATACTCGCGCTTGAATGCCTCCCAATCCCACACGAAGACCTGCCAGGACATGCCGGGAAGAGCATCAGGCGTGTTACGTGAAGCGTAACGCCTATAAAGACAGATGCCTCCTCGAAGTCGTCGTCGTCGGTCATATCAGCCCAGCGACGAGTGGACGGCATGCTGCCTGAGGACAAGCATTCGTCAAGCGCAATGCGAGTTTTCCTGCAAGAATGGGTGCAGAGGCGCCTGGGGTGCGTAAGATCCGCGCTCAGCGCACGAGAAATGTCGAATTGTGGTGAGAGATATACTCTCACAGCTTGGAGCTTCAAAAGGCTACGGAAGACTGTCTTTGATTGATTGGGCCGATGTGGGTGCCGCGAGCTGCGGCTCATGCATGCAACACCCTTAACCCTCAGACCCTTCAGAGCTCGCGTAGTGCATCTCCATGCTTCTTGTGTGGAGCTTCCACAATACAAACTAGCCGTGAGCATCTGGTCACGATGTGCTGTTGTGATCTAGCCCTGCACGTAGTCCTTCCTCTTTCTCCCCTGGACAAGCGTTCTCGCCTTGCGGGAAGTCGTCCTTCTGCGCCGCCATGCTCTTTCCAAGTCGAAGCAAATGCTTCGAGTTTGCCGGTTGGGCATACACTAAGACCGCAACAAAGCAAAATTTGTTCGAGATTCAATCGCCCCAAGACCGCGACGATGACGGCGTTGTGTCCACTTCGAAGCAATTGCTTGCCGGCTGGGTCTGTTAATTAATATACTCACAAGAAAACAGAACAAAATCTGCTCAAGACTAGGTCACCCCAAGACTGCATCACCCCCAAGACTGGATCACCTCAAGAGCTGGGTCACCTCAGGACTGGACCTGAGTCACCCCAGCGTTGAGTCACTCCAGACGTGAGTCGCTGCAGTCTCGGGTCACCGCAGACTTGTGTTCTGCGGCCAGGTGGCGCCCAGAGCAAACTAGCCCGTCGCGAAGTCCTGTTGTGATCTAGCCCTCCGCATAGTCCTCCTGCTTTCTCCCCTGGATAAGCGTGCTCGCCCTGCGGGGAGTCGTCGTTCGTTGCCGCGACGATGGCAGCGTTGTGCCCAATTCGCAAGACATGTTTCGTCTTTGCCGGTTGGGCGTACTAATAAGACAAAACAAAGCAAAATCTGTTCAAGACTAGGTCACCCCAAGACTGCGTCACCCCAAGACTGGAGCACCTCAAGAGCTGGGTCACCTCAGGACTGGGTGTGCCAGACCTGAGTCACCCCAGCATTGAGTCACTCCAGACGTGAGTCACTGCAGTCTCGGGTCACCCCAGACTTGTGTTCTGCGGCCAGGTGGCACCCGCAGCAAACTAGCCCGTCGCGACGTCCTGTTGTGATCTAGCCCTCCGCATAGTCCTCCTTCTTTCTCCCCTGGATAAGCGTTCTCGCCCTGCGGAAAGTCGTCGTTCTTTGCCGCGACGATGACAGCGCAGTGTCCAGTTCCAAACAAACGGGTAAGCTCAAAAATTCATAGCAAAGCCAAGCAAAATATGCTCAAGACTAGGTCACCCCCAATTTGTGTTCTGCGGCCAGGTGGCACCCAGAGCAAACTAGCCCGTCGCGAAGTCCTGTTGTGATCTAGCCCTC